CACTGCTGGCATGGCCACTCTTCCCTGTCAGAATAAACTGCCAAAATGGTTGTCTCTCCTGATGAACATTTTTCTCCTGCCTGGTTCCTCCACGCCTGGCTGGCTACTGAGGTGAGCCACCAGCTGTCAAACCATTCTTTTCTCCTCCTGCTGTGGGGTTCATTTCCCCCTCAGTGGCTGTTGCTAGGCAACCAAACTTAATTCTGTCAGTAAAAAGGCAGGGGCAGGAGGCCCTTTCCAGGCCTACTCTGGCCTTTGTGGGGAACTCATTGGGGCCAGTACTCCTGACTAGGGTTGCCAGCTTCAGGCTGGGAAATTCCTGGAGATTTTGTGGTGCAGTCTATGAGCCAGAGTTTCGGGAGGGGAGGGGAGGGGAGGAGAGGGACCTCAGCTGAATAGAATGCCATAGAGTCCACCCTTCAAAGCAGTTATTTTCTTCAGGTGGAGAGAGAGGGGGGAACTATGGTTACCAATCTCCAGGTGAGGGCGGGAGATTACTCAGAATTACAACTGCTCTTCAGATAACAGAGATCAGTTCCCCTGAAGAAAATGGTGGGCTCTGTGTCATTATACCCTGATGAGGTCGCCACAGCAAATTGACACTGAGTGTCCAAGGCCGGGGCACCCGCCCAGAGCCTCTTTCTAGAGCTCATTGTATTTATTTCCACAATGGGCCTTATTCCTAGTATTATAATAATTCACTTAGTGGGTAGTTGACTCACCAAACTTAAGAGCCAGAGACATGATAATGGCCAGTGGCTCAGATGAATTTAAAAGGAAACTGAACAAATTTATGTGGGATAGGTATATTGTTGGAAATTAGTCATGACAAGAGGGACCCATGACAAACTCATGGGAAAATTCCCTCACTCATCTCTGGTTTCTCCCCTGGCTTCTAATACCTCCCAGCAATCTTTCTCTACCTTTTCCTCTCAATGCCACTTCTTCACATTTTTCCCCATCCACACAGTACTCCTTCTCCTCCCTTTACTCCCAACACTAGAGATGTGAAGGCCCGGGAAAAAAAACGGAAAAATTAGAAGAAGAAAAATCCCCCCCCCCGTTTTTCCCCTGAAGCTTTTTTGTTTTTTTCCGAAAAATTGGAAAAATTGGAAAAAAAGAAAAGAAAAGGAAAAAAAATTGATTATGGAACGTTTTATTTTAACATGATGAATAAAATATTTTAAGACAAGGTGTTCAAATATTTTCCAAATCATTTCTAATATATATATTGATTTAATTTCTGTGCACTGAGGACAAGCAAGTCCTAGGTTACAAACTGAACTCTCCAATGCAAGAACAAGATGCATTTCTTCCTTTAGGAGGTGCAATTGTCAGAAGAAAATAAAAAAGTTTCAGTTTTGTTTTTGCATCCGGATGGGTATTCTGTTTGTAATATGTAATAATTGTTTGGATACACTATATTTTTAATATGCTAGTTGTGATAATTTCATGCCAAGTAAAAATGTCCATAGTCATATTTTATGTTCCTAAAGTAACAGAATGACTTTCAATCTAGAAAAGACAAAAAACAAAACAAAAAAACACGGAAAAAAACGGGTTTTTTTTCCGAGCTTCAAAATTTCCAGAAATTTATCATCTCTACCCAACACTGGCCTATACCTCCCCCTATCCACTTGCTGCACTCTCTGTCCTCAGTCTGATTTGTGCCCACCCACCCCCTCCTCAAGCCCACCCTGCCTACCCTTCCTCTTCTCTGCCATTCTATCCCCACACCTCTCCTTCTTGCCTCCCCCTTTGCCTTTCTCACCACTGTTCTGGCCATCACCACTCCCTTCTTCTCGCTACAAATCTGCTCACCCCCCCCTTTGTCCACCCACTCAGGCACTTTTCTGCCTCAACAATAGCAGCGGCTCCCCTGAGCACCTGGTTGCTTTGCCTCCTGTGAGAAGGTCAAGCCCATAGTCCTGTGTTTTATCACATGTACAGCTCTTTATATTTGAAGATTATATTCCTGGCTGGAACTGCAAATCCTCTGCTATGGATCTGAAGGAGTAAAGTCTCACACCAGAGATGAGCTGTGGCTTGCTGGCTGCCAGGAGGCAAGGCACTATAATAAAATAGAACTCACATAATAAATCATAGATAAGAAGAGTGGGGAACTGGGTTGGATCCAGCTAGGGTTGTCAACTCCAGCTTGGGACTTCCGTAGAGATTTGGGGGCAGTGCCTGGGGAGGATGTGATGCCATGGAGCCCACCTTTCATTTCCTCCAGGGGGACTGATTTCTGTGGTCTGGAGATCAGCTGTAATTCTCTCCCCCCAGCCCCAGTTTTCAGATTTTTCTGCAAACCTGGGTTTCCCCCCAAGTTGTTGAAAAAATATTCCTTCTGTGTAAATGAGCCCAATCTGTACATTTAAGAAACTGCAGATGGGCCCACGCTTCACTATTAGATACAATATATAAGCATAAGATCTCCAGCTACAGAGGCATTCTGCTGCTGTCAGATGCTGGGAAAGCAGTCAGTAGGCAAAGGCTGTTGCTAGTCTGCCCAGCTTGTCAGCTTTCCTGTAGTATTTGACTGGCCACCACTGGAATCAGGATGCTGGACCAGAAGGACCATTGGCTTTACTCAGTATGGCCCAAAACTAAGTTTACTTTTTTGCCAAATTCCTTGTTCACTTTTGCTCAATCAGGCCCCAATATCCATGCACTTCTTCTTCCTTTCCTTTCCTTTCTTCTTGCCAGTGTCTAAGAATACTACCAGAAGCATCAGAACCACCCCATTTTAGTATAATCATAAGTGGCTGTGCACAATGAGCATACACAACACAGGTTAGACAACAATGAGCATACACAACACAGAGTTCTCCCTGCTATTCAGAGTGCCAGTGAGCAAAGAATTAAACCCTGCCTCTTTGCTTTGCATATCCCCAACAATTATTTAAATGTACAAAACTGCTGAGTAATTATTTTACAAACTACTAGTGATGACGAAGCATAGTTACATCAACAACACTTTCGCACTACTTGCCAGTAAACAACATTTGTCCCCCTCAAAATATACATATTGTTATTTCAACTCTGGAGAGGATTTCAGAGCAAAATATTTGGAATGAGAGAGTTTCTAAAATAGGTTACAATATCCATTTCACTAGCACATAACCTGCTGTGGTATGGAATCATTTTTAGGTGCAGGTTCTATATCGGAAAACCAAAATATACAGAACACACATCCTATTATATTTCCTTTTTTTAAAAAAAACAACAACCACAAACTGCATGATTAAAAAGAAAGGGGTAGGTATTTCTAATTTATAATTCGATTTGCCTAACTTGGAGTGAGTCCCAGTACACCATCTCTTGTTTTATACTGGTCATGTGCCTTCCCACTATGAACATTTTAGTGTACCCTCTTAAAGTACACATTAACGTGTGTGTGTGTGTGTGTGAGAATGTTACTGTTTTGGGCAGTTTGTCCATTCCATAATCAAGAGATGCATTAGTGTGTTTCTGTGGCTTCCGGAGCAGCTGGTGAAGATGTAACTCATGCCATTAGGAATTGAGATCAGGCTGTAAAATCACATGCTTCCTGCACTGCCAGTAAAATGTTTCCTATGATAGTAAACAGTAACCTTAGGCCTTGGAGGCAAGACAAATAATGCCAGCCTTTATATATTTTCTAACGTCATCAATGCATTCTGATATTGTGCCATGTCAAGCTTTGACTGCATTAGAGACAGAACTCTCCTAAACAACATGTATCATCCTCCATTACATATATCAGTAAATATATTAATACAGTGAAACGTATGTGAGCTACAAATAAAGGAAAAATATATTATGTACAGAAATTTATGCTTGATCTCTGTCTTTCTAACCCCTCACATGCCTATTAACAAGCACAGTCTTAAAAACCTTCTTAGATAGGGTTAAGTTTCTAAAATGCAAATTATATACTGTGGCATTGTTGCAAGGGGAATTACTTCACTAAGAAACTTTATTCATGAACTTCTGAAATGACGTTATCCATAATAGTTCATCTCCATGCTATATTTTATTCCCAAAGTGGGAGTGAAATTGAGAAGAAAACTACAGAGATAGTATGTAATCTAGCACAAGAAATACCTGTCCTATTTTTCTGTGTGAACAGGAAGGAAATGTCTACTGAGCTTATGGGATGTTCCAGTATCAAAGCTGTGCCAATGTATTCTCATACTCACAATGGTGATCTTAAACAACATGGAAGAGAAAATTTGCAATGAGGAAGGAAAAACACACATTACATTGGACAAAATAGGTCCTTTGGAAGACAGGTTGGTTGTGCATGTCCTCTTGATGTTATGTTAGCTGCCAATTCGATTGCAGCTGAGGAAGGAAAGCGGTAAAGGATATTTCTATGCCAGCAAACCCTGGGAACACAACACCTTTAGTTTAACAGCCTTCCCAGAAAGGAACCCCCTGCTACATTTTGGCTTTGCCTAGTCATAGTTATCAGCAACACAACAGCTGCTTGTTTTACACTGACTTGATAGAGAGAAAATGATTGAGAGAGCCAATCTATGTCACATAGAGAGGCTTGTAGCAAGACCCAGCAGGAGGTAATATAAAAGGACTGAGGTCAGAACAAACAAAGATAGGCTGAGCAGGCAGGGGGAAAAAATATCACCAAAGACAGGGAAAGCCTATATTGCAACAACATCTAGCATATGTTAAACCCCCTCAAGTTCAACACTTCTCTTTTTTCTTAATTTGTGAGAGGGAACAGACATGGATGAAATCTACAATTGGAACATTTGTGGAGTTTGAGCCTGGTTCCCCTATTATCAATTTCTCCTGGATTTTGCATTTTGCAAAAAGAGTGGCACAAGACCATAAGTGTTCGATCCCGTGTTTCAAGTCTTTAATAAACATTGCATTTCCCCTGAAATGTGGGAATTAAAACAAATGTACAAGTGCTGAAGCAAATATTTTAAAAATCAAAACAGGAACAAAAGAGGTCAGTTGGAAAGAATGTTTCAGAAAAGCCTACCATTTACCTGGGATACTCGCAGGAGAAATGGGACCAGATCTTGATTGATTGCTTCCGACAGGAGAGCCCACTGGGGAGGGGGATGGGCCCCCAGGGATGCTGGAGAGATGTGGGGAGGCATGAGGGGAGAAAGGTGACTGTGCTGGATTGCTCTGCTCTCCTTGGCTGCTTGTAGAACCTGATGCACTAACTGCTGAACTCAGTGTTGCTTCTGTTCCTGTAGGCAGGTCATCAATGGAGCCAGACAAATCCTGAGAACAAAGAGGGGGGGAAACTGATAAAGGAGCAGTAGGAACCAACATCAAGGTAAAGTGTGCAAGATATCAGGAGATGGAAGAACATCTTTTCACTTGGCATAGATGCCACGGAAATATGATTCCAGATTGACTTCTAGGTGATTAAAATATAAAACAAATGTTATTATTTCATATAAAAATGAGATAAACCACATGTATCAGAATATATGGGGAACAATCTCATAGGAGACATTTGTGGTAGAAGAACAGCATTCACATATTTTAGCTTGGTAAAGTACTCATGGAGTTTTCCATCCACATTCCTAAGCATTTTCCATATTGTTATTTAAGTTATTAGTATTTTATTTTGGGGGTTTATTATACAAATATCCTAAGCCATTATCCTATTAAACCACCAACACTAGGGATAACTTTTAAAATATTCTGTGGAATAGTGTTTCTGTTCACTTTTAGATTAGACAGAAAAAGCCATATCCTAATCCCTTCTGATCCTAGAAGCACAAGTAAACTGATGTGTGATTTGGTCTGGTATACTGCTCACATAGTATTGTTGTAAATACAGTAAGCCCATCTAAAATACCCTCAGGTATCAAACGTTTTTAAATTTAATGCAGTTATTCCTGTAAATGTGAGATAAATATTGAACATGTAGTTAAATGCAGTCAAAATTGTGGTACCACCTTGCTTATTTGAATTCACATGTTCTCAGTGGAATCCAGAAAGCAAGGATCCAGAGGAGTTAGCCATATTCGTCTGTTGCTGCAAAATAGTAAAAAGTCCAGTAGCACCTTTAAGACTAACAAACTTTATTGTAGCATAAGCTTTCAAGAAACACAGTGTTTCTCAAAAGCTTATGCTACAATAAAGTTCGTTAGTCTTCAAGGTGCTACTGGGCTTTTTACTATTCAGAAAGCAAGGGACATCATTAAGAATTTACAGAGCCACAGAGGCTAGTCATGTGATCTTATATTCAAGTCACTGGATGGGAACTGAATCAATACTGCATTTTGTTCTGCTAACTGAACACCTTTATGCCATGTAGTGGATTTATGCTGACACAGCATTACTGTTATGCCAGTAGTATGTAACACTGGCACAATTACTAGAATGGTGGGGTACTGCTAGCACAAGGCTAAAAAAATTAGGCATAATCAGGTGCATAGTGTGTGTGAGGGGAATGGTAGACGCTTGTCAGAAGTATATACTAATCAGGCAGGAATTTATGCCAATGTAATGTTACTGAATAATGCTGGGTAACTGGCAAGCTGATAGGAAGCTGCCATTGCAAGGGCAGAAATAGGTACACTGGGAGGGGGAGAGTACAAGCTAGTTGGAGGTATATAATGGCTCAGAGATGGTTGCACCATCAACAAGGGCATATTGCTATACCAACAAAGTAGGTCACATAATGACAACACTTTCATTAGCATCAATAGAAAAGCTAAGAAGTTCATTCTTCTCTTCCCCCTCTGTTGCCCTTCCACATCAAATGTTTCTAACTTAGGAAGCAATCATGGAACAGCCCCCCAAAAGAAACGCACAACTTAGATATCAAGATGTAAGGGCTACATAATTATCCTCATGTAGAGAATGGTGGATATACAAGCTGGGAATCTTGTAATCAGGAAACAGTGAAAGGAAGCATGATGTACAAACAGCGAACACTCCAAGGATAACAATCATGTAAGGATGCAAATAAATAACATCTTCTCTCAGAACCCTTGTAGGTAGTTTGCTACAAGACTCTAGATACAAATACTCATCAGGACCTTCAACTCTAAAGTTCATCCTGGAGCTGTAAGGATAAGACACACCACACAGGTAATCAAAAGAATGCCCTTGCCACAGATGGGGAACCAAAGCCTCAAAAGTATGAACCCGAACAAGTTCCATCCTTCTTGTAATATGTGGAGAACACTCAACACACACAGCCTGACTGTTTTTTCTTCCTTTTCACCTGCAATCAGGTGTGAACACACATACAATCCATGGATAGCATACATGACGACTTTCTACACACAGAGTAATGTTTAATGTTACATTCAGATCGTGATGAAGGGCATAAAACGTTTTCACAGAATATTTTCTATTGTTACATCTTTCTATGGAAAGTCTTCTGCCCTACATATGTAAATATAGTCTGTTTATCTATAGTTGTCAGGGCTGCAGAGTTATGTATCTATCTTGTTAGTATAAATGTGGATTATGAAGCATGGACAAATCCCAGTGCTTTTACATGGTCCAGGCTTGTACCTTTGTCTTCTTTCGCTAACTTTATTTAAAATTTGCTAACACTACTTAAATAGTTATACTCCCTACATATGTAAATATACTACTACTACTACTATTACTACTACTACTACTACTATTATTATTATTATTATTAAAAAATTGTGAATCAGAAAATTTTCCAGTTCATCTTTTTCCTGGAAGACCCGTATCACTGCAATAAATGCTGGTACAGCTGAACGTGTGATTTCAACACCACACTTGTCTGGCTACTGGTCCTCACTTTTAAAGTGAATGTATATTGGGCTCGTTCTTATAAACAGATCCATATATGTACATGCATTCGCTATAATTTGTGTACAAGGCTACAGTCTCCCACAAAGGGGGACAAGGGGGCATACTGGACACAAGTAGGCTTTCACGAGCCACCAGGGAAGGCTGTCATTGTTGCTCAGGCTACCAATGTTTCTGTCGTTGGGACTGACAGCCATTCAGGATTCATTCTTCCTTGCAGGATCACATCCAGGGGCACATGGAACAATTACAGGCAACAGAATCACAGTGACGCTCCCTTCATTGTGGTAAATTATTATTACACCCAACATCAGGATGGAAGAGTCATATAAAGCATAAATTAATTACAGAAGCATTTTATACTACAGTGTATCTGACACACTGATTAACTGTTCCAGTTTTGCCTCCATATAATAAAGTGCACCCTTGAACAAAGTCAAATGTGTAACAAATGCAGCACGAACAGCTGATAAAACAAGCACTACCTGCAAAGAATACAATAAAGTAGAAAAAACAAAACCCCTTAAGACAGGCTCAGTTGGTTAAAATGAATACAGATCTTCTGCACCGTAAAAAACAGAAAGAAAGAATTATGTTCTCCCAAGGGAAACATGTTACAAAAATGCACCATACTGCACTTACGGTAGCCACTCCATTCAGACATCAGCCAAGGAATTGATAACATTTTTTGAACTGCTGGTAACCTATTTTATAAGGCCAAGTAATGTTTGAAAATGTTATTAAGTATGTAACATAGTGAAGGATAAAATGATTTGCAGTTCAGGGATCAAGGCAATACCCAAGAGTCCACTATACGGCAACAATTTATCTTTAGCTCCCTCAGTGAATGCAAACGTGGAGGGAAGTGAACGGGAGGGGGAAGGTATCTGGAGTGGTTTATTTTTTCCCATCAGGTCACATTATGACTTCTCATTTTAATAATCCCCCACGGGGGGGTGGAGTGAGTGACAAGTCCGAGGCATTTGCTCAAGTGCGTGCCTTCAAGGGATTTCCTCACAAACCTGACACAGCTCATTCATAAAATCAAAAGGGGCACCCATGATGCCACTCTGCTTAAAGAGCTATACTGTATATTAAAAAAACAGAAGCCAAGGGGGAAAACAAACCAAAATAGAAGAGCAAGTGCAGTCTTCAAATTGCTGGTGCACTTTTTCAACCTAACTCAGCTGACCATTTCAGTACATCTACCCCCGTTTTTAAAAAGCTGCATTTCTTTCAACAGGGACACCCAACAAACTCATTCAACTTGCCCGTCAAGGACATTAGTACAGAAATGTATGTGTTGTCAGGAAAAGGACACAGAGAAATATATTGCCTGTTTTTAGATCCTTTTATCCAATTGCTATTCCAATCATAACTACTGACACAAGATAAAATTTCCTATAGTGAAGTAATTTGTTTGTATCGTATATGTCATTTGTCACAAGTAAGAAAAAAAACAGGGTTGTACTGTGAATGGTGCCCCTTCTGTTGCAGCCTACACATTACCCAAAACACTGGTCCCCATAATCAGAGATCCCCCCCCCCGCCCAGGAACAACATTTATGACAATACAGAGAGGTCTGCAGCGGGATGAGAAATAGGCAAAAATCACCCTTGCTTCACAAACAGAAGTGCACTTCTGCCAGCAGAAAATAAGTACTGGATCCTCTCTGTAAACATGTCCATTTTGCTGCTTCTATATATTTCACAAAGCTGCTATCAGACAGAGTTTCCTTTCAAAAGTATACAGCGTAAAACACTGACACTAATGAAGACCTACATATAGGTATGAAGACACAGCCAATTTCACACATGAAGGCTTATGTACAGGATTCAGTTTCCTGGATGCTACCACTGTTTATGAAATTCCATATTGTGTTAAACAGTCCTAAAAAGGTAATCCATATATAGCTTACACTTGCCACTGATTGCACACACATGCGCACAGAAAGACAACAAATGGATGCTTAGCAGCATACTTGAGCCTGAACATTTACTGAGATCAGCGTCCTATCTGAATGTATTATCTTTCATGACTTGTAAAGCACTTTATGAACAAGAGAACTTTTGTACTACTCTAACATATCCTGAGGAAGATCCAATTTTGAAACGTTATATAATCCAGAGACGACGTTGATGATGTACCTTTGCACTAGGATTTTCCTATGCTTTGTAGGAATTAATTTATTGTGTTGTAGTGCTTCAGACTGTAATACATAGTAAGCATTTTCTTTGCAAGTCTTGTTGACTGCTTGATTTGTGGGGCAGATACAACTGCTTTCTTTATACTTGTTCTCTGATTAGGTCGTGTTTGTCCACATTTGTTTTGTTCTAATAGTGGTAGAAAGAGTAAGAATCCAGTAGCACCTTTAAAGACTAACAAAATTGTGGTAGGGTATGTGCTTTTGTGAGTCACTGCTCACTTCTTCAGACTTATTTCCATTTATTCTTTGCATCCTCCTGAACTG